TGTTTTTCTTAGGGCCCTTCCACATTTTCAAATTAAAGCTGGATAGAAACCAGCAATAAAGTTATTACACATTTTCAAGCACTAACTTTGTAGCTAGGTGGCTCTTTTTATAGCTGGGTGGACTTTGTTATGGTGTGATAATTACTTTGCAGGTGTGGCCAGTCTTCATTTATTGCATAATTAACCAGTTAATTGCATAACAAATGCAACATGCAGCAAAAGCCTTAGTAATCTGAAGCAGCTGGTATCTGCAGAAAGCAAAATTTCTTGTGGCAAGCAACTGATGCTGGAGAAGCCTGCCCACCAGTTGTAGGTGGGGGACATTCTACATATTTTTTGAGGTTGTGTGTTTGGAGATAGAGTCTCAGAGGCACTCTTGACTTGCAGTGGAAATTCTGAGAGCGGTTACCCTATCAACAGTAACAGGAGTCCAGACCTGTTGAGGTTTAAACTACTACTGGTGAACAGTCTGGCTTTCAGTGAAATGTAAGATTCCTGAGTGCTAGAATTGCTTCTAAACATTGAACTCTATATCCCACAATATTTAGGTATCCCTGAAAAATTTACACAGGGTTCTTCTACAAGTGTTGATTTAAATCAACCAGAAACTATTGGGTTAAATGCTGGAATTATTTCATGAAATTAGGTGGATTGAGTTATGCAGGAGGTAAGACTTGATTAGCATAACGATTTCTTCTGGTCTTTGCATCAGAAATTGGTATTTCCAACTCTCTCTCTTTCTTTTGCTCTCCTTTTTCCCACGTAGTACAGAAAAGAGGGTTCAGTAGTAGCCTTAGAAAGGAATACTGTACGTTTTATCCAGCCCTCAGGAAGGATAGGTGGCTCTTGCTAGCATGAATTGCACTAATTTGAGAAAGGATGCTGTACATTGATGTAGTGTATCCTCTGGAGACTGAACAATTATTGCTTGAAAATTAGTAGCCATTATAACTTAGCAGTTGCCCTTCTGATCCAAACATAATTAAGGCAGTGGTTCTCAACCATTTTAGATGCCAAACATCCCTTGATAGGTGAGGCACCTCTCTTAGTTTTCCCCTCATTTCTTGACTACAGGAAAATAATGGAACAATTCTTCTGCTGCAAAGAACTCAACAGGTTCACAACAGATCAGAAGGTTTTTCACACTGTAGGTTCCTATCTGAAATCTCTCTGTTTAATTTTAGAATCATGTTTGCACACCTAACAGTGTTAACAATTGAACAGCACCCAATGACACCCTTGAAAGGATCTCAAGGCATCTGAGGGTGTTGCAGTACCCTGGTTGAGAATCACAGGATTAAGCTATTAGCAAAAGGCCTAGACTAGAACATTAAGCCATAAATGCTCACATGGGAAGCTGCCATTTGGTTTCTGATATAAAATACAATGTGTCTGAATGTGGGACCATAGACTTTACATTGATAATGTGTTTTAACCACTTTAAATGTATGACAATTTTGCAAATCACCATGCATGCATTTAGATGCGAACATACATTTTCCTGAGTTCTTGGCTAAAAAGACCGGGATTACCTTTTGGCTGGAATTAGAACCTTGGTATGTCAGCATCAAAAAAAGGGGTTCATAACTTGGGTTAAAACAGCAGCTAAAACAAGGAAAGTTGAGTTTTGAGTAAGCAGCTCATGCTCAAGTCTATTGCTAACACAAGTCAAAACCCAAATTACCTCATCTTTGCTGCAAATTTATTCCCAGTTAACTAATACAGATGAACCAATCTGAGTTAAAACAGTTTTGTTCTTTTTTGCGTTATAAACATACATACATTGCAGCCAACATGGGACTGAAGTGTTGTCATTTGCCATGATGATCCAAGGCACATGATGGGTGGGCTCCTGCACTTCAAGCAGACTGTCTTTAGTGGTGCTACCTTAGAGGTAGATAGTCATTTCTATTAATAATAACTACCATAACTCTGTTGAGTATTACCTAAATAAGGCCATTAGCAGTATGATGGACACAGACATTTGTCATACTGCTTATGCCTCTGTAGATAGTAGGTACTCCTCCTCCCTGACAGAAGCAGGGCTTATCTTGGCCTGGGTCCTAAATTGCTGATATGAGACCTTTCTTCTGTATCCAGTTCCCTGGATCCCACTCCAGAGTCTGGCTACTTTACTGATACATCTTCATGTGCTTGGAGAATTATGAAGCCTTCCTTTACTGACTGGATGTTGCATAAGACTTTACACAGTGACCAATAATGAACCAACATGTTTATTACAATACAGCTTATACTGTAAATATATTGGTAATTAGTGAAATAAATAATTCATGAAATAATTAATTAAATCATTTCCTGTAACATGCCTTGCTCTCTGATCCTGTTTGTCCTGTTTCTAACCTCCCCAACCCCGTCTCAGGATTTGTAGGCACCCTGCTCCTGGTGCATCCTCACACCTCTGCTTTTCCTGCCCTGCTCCACTTTCTCTCCCCTAGGCATCTATGATGAAGCTCCCTGTGCAGGCAGATGAACTTGGGGCTCTCAGAGTCTGGTTGGGGAAGCTGTGGCAGGGATAGTTCTGTCTGCTCTGTGACCTGAGTTTCCTTGTGCCCTGGCTACAAAACCCTAGGACAGTTTATGTTGTCATAGTAAGGGAAGACCTCCTACAGTGGGGCCAGATTTGGCTAAAATTGGTGTAGGGGATGGGCAGCTTCACCTGCCATATCTCAAGGTACTTTAGTTTTGAACTTTGTGGTTTAGTTGAACTGGGTGTATCTACATGTGCATTAATGTACTTTTCCTAATACACATTAAATTTAGTACCTCCAATGTGAGGCACTAAATTAATGAGCATAAGGCTGCCTTAACACACAGTAGGACAAGAACATGTTTTTTAGGTGACAATGAGCAGTAACCTATTTTACTGCATGTTAGCCTAATAGCATGGTTTTTTTGTGCACCACTTCAATGTGCAGTAAAATAGGCTACTGCAGTGCCCACTGGTTCTTTAAATCTGACACAAAGTCTTGGAAGGGATAATGGAGAAGGTGAAGGGATTTCCCTTGTGGGAGGTTGAGGTGGGGGGGCGGTGAAGTAGGATACAGGGGCTTTTCTCTGTATGTAAATGAAAGTTGGGAGGCGGTGTTGGGATTGGCGACAGGGTTTTCTTTTGCAGAGGTTCATGTGGGAAAGCAGTAGGTTGGGGGATGCGGGGAGTTAGAGTTCTTGTGTTTTGGGGTGTTGCTTGGGGAATGTTGTCAGTAGGTTGCTTGTTTGTGGTGAGTCACTCTGAGCCTTTGGGGAAAGGATGGGTTATGAAACTAGCAAATGCAGACCATACTGTCTTAACTCGATGCACACTAGTCATCTAAAGATGTTGTGAAGGCAGAGGGGCAATTTTAGGACTGGCACCTTGGCCCAATATGGGAAACACCAAGTGTCACATCTCCTTTACTCTCTTAGAGGGAATGTCTATGGATAAGTGGCCTGCACTTGGTGACTGCTCCTTTTTTGGTAACAAGAGCCCACTGCTCTCTCTAGCCCATGCCAGATCTGGAAGCCATGGTGTGGCCCAGTGCCCACTTTGGATACCCTCAGGTTTCTCTGGGTCGTGGCTGCAGGCATTGCACTCAGATACGCAGCCATTTGAAGATGGCCTATGTCCATGCGAGTCCAGGATGGCCTGGCAACAAAGCAAGGCTGGTTTGGGGGGTGGGGGGGGAGAAGGACAGGTGATCTCCTGGATTGGACCCACTGCGAGGTTCGGACAGGCAGACAAACTTCCAGAAGCCAGACATCACTCCCAGATGATGTCATTCTTGCCTGACACCATTTTCCAACTTGTCTGACGTCACTACGCTCCCCAACAAAGCCTTGCCTCTCTTGTACCTTTAAATGTGGTGTTCCGCGTGACTACGCTAAAGCCGATCTTAGCCGACAGGCTCCTGTTGGGGCTGGGTGTCACTGGCCCTTTAAGGATAGTGGACTGCAGCTCGAGCCCTTTAAAACGGCGTTGCCCCGCCTCCACGCAGCATCATCGCAGCTTGAGTCACGTGACGGAGGATAGAAGTGCCGCGCCCCCCCTTCTCCCCCGCCCAACTTCCGAGTACTTGGCCCTGAGACCGGAAGTGGAGGGTGTGGCGTACTTCTGGGGGGCTGGTGTCTGGCTGCCTTCTTCCTTCCGGCCTGGGCGGTTCGTGGGGACAGGACCGGGTGGCGGCGCCATGGCCGGCATCAAAGGTGCGGCGGCGGCGCGGCTCGGGGTCCTGTTGGGTAGCCTTCCTTCCCCTCCTGGGGGCTATGGGGGCCCCGCGTCACGGACACAAACACTGGCGTTGGGGCGGAGCAGGGAGCGGGGCGCGGGTGTAACGCGCCCCGTTTCTCCGGGTAGACAGGAAGCAGGCCGGCTGGTGCTTCTACGCTTTGGGTGGGGCAACACCGCCTTGCCCGCCCCCTCCCCCCCATGTGTCTGCACATACACGGGGACGCCTATGCACATACCTTATTTCATTAGCCTGTAAACGTGTATGTCCTCCCTGACTTCAGTGTTTTTGCTGCACTTGTCCCTTACTGCTAAACATGAAAACTGTAGCAGAACAAGCAGCGTTTCTCCAGGAAGGCATTATTAACCACGCTGTGCAAAGGCGCATAATGTGGGCTTATAAAATCTGCTTCTCTTCCTGCTAAAGGAAAAAAAAATCTCAGGAGTTTGTTGATATCAAAAAGCAGATTAGATATCATTTCTGAGCTAGGTGTGCTGTTGAGCTTTCTAGGCAGCACTGTCAGTTGTATGGTCACGTTTCTGTCTTCCAATGCTGCATGGAGATGGGAGAAACTGAGTAGACAAGGTGTGCAGTGTGTGCCAAGTGTTGGCATGTGCAGTTATGCCAAGATCCACCACGGAACTTGTAGGCTTCAAGCTGCGGGTGGGTGTGCAGTTGACAAACCTGAGTTAGGTGCCTTGGAACAGCGGTGTGCAACATGTGGTATGCAGAGGGGGAATACCAACACCAGCCACTAGAAAAGGTAGGAGAGAGGAAGGGATCCCAAATCCCCATTTTTCTCCTGCGCTTTGTCACATAACTTAGGGCTGCAGCAGGTGCACATACATGCCTTAGGCCAGTGGTTTTCAGTCTTTCTACATCTGAGGCAGCCCTCCATAAACTCTTGAATTTGGCAGTGCTCCATTTCAAAACCTAACTTCATTTACATTTTTTTACTTCTGAAAATAAAGCAATTAATCTGTTGCAAAAAACTCAAGTCACGGCAGGTCAGAGGGCTTGTGGCGCTATGGCCACCTGTTTGAAATATCTGAATTTGTGTTGTGAATCATGTGTAGGTGTTTGCACATCTAAGGATGCTAATATTGCCAAACACCCTGAAAATGATTGTGTGGCACCCTGGTTTTGCTTTAAGTACTTCAGCTGTCTTTTTCTGGGTACAGGTTCATTCTTCTCTATCGAGATGTGGCTGGAGGAATAGGACCTGGTGATGATATCTGTCATTAAAGTAATAAACCATTGGTTATGGTGCTTTCTCAGGAAGTGAGAGACCTAAATTGTAGGTAGTTCTCATCCTAGGGGAGTTGGGGCATGGGTTTTAAGACTGGGCCTTAATTGTCAGGCTAGAGGGAAAGCTAGGTTTGGACAGCCTCTGCCTCTCTTGAAGCTGGGCCAGAGAGAAAATAATCAACATGGAGCCTGCATGTGTCCCATGGATCAAGGTATTCCCCTTGGTGGGAGACATTCTTTTAGGTTGTGGTGCCTTCAAAAAGTAATGTTGTGCACTTTATCAAAAGCATTTAATATAAAATGTGTATGTGTTCCTAGGAGCTGGAACCCAGGACTTTCAGAGACATCCCTTCAGCACTGGGGAAGCTTTTTGTCTGGCCTTGTGAATCCTTTCATCTTTGCTGTATGGTGGCACAGTTCTGGCAGAAAAAATGGAGGCTGCATATCCCAGTCTAGTCTTAGCTTGATGTTTAGGACACTCTTCTAGGCAAGGCAGGTCTGAAGCCCCTCAGACTGAGGAGGACCTAAAGCTCAGTTCTTTCTACTTATAAGCCAGTGCTGTAACAACTGGACTATTGCATCAAAGGCACCAGCTCTCTTCACCCCAGCTATAACTGTAGTTTTTGAGTGAAAGTGTCCATGTCTGCTGTGCTTTTGTGCTGAAGTGTATGCTTTCAAGCTGTTTTAAGTGTGGTCGGGGCACACAGTGAATTGGACCCTTCAAGAGTCTTGGGTAGTGCTCCACCTAATTTGTGAATCCCAGATAGGCTTACGCTACAGGTAATAACCAAATGCATGCACTTATAGCAAATATATGCACTTGATGCATGCACAATAGCAGAACTTGATTATGCTTAAGTTTTCTGGTGGAAACCAAGGTGCCTAAGTGATTAGACAGGTTTTCATGGATCATACTGCTCGACTTTGGTGCAGCTAAATGCTTTTTTTGAGACTGTCTCAGGTCTCTTTTGGGACCTGATCCAAAACCCCTTTGAAGTGAATGAGATTTTTTTTTTATTTTCATGGACTTCGGGTTCGTTTATTAAACTGAACATACATTTTTTAGTCCCTCAATCATGGATATATTTTTGTGACATTACACTGATCTATTTATGGCATATACTGCGTTACTTCATGTGGAAAATGTTGCCCATTCTGAATGTCATGTTAACATCAGAAGTCAAAGTTAAATTTTTCCTCAAAACAGGATTAAAAATTATTAAACCTATCTTGAGAGAGCTATTTCCTTCTAGTAGGGGTTTATCTTGTGCTGTATACAGTCTCAAGGTGGTTAGGATGTTTTCACTTGCATCATCTTTGTATTGGAAAATATTGCAAAACAAAAAAGCAGGGAACTTATTTTAAATTACAGTCAGAACTATCTGGTAATGTTGAATCTGGTATTTTTCCAGCTGAATGCGAATGTTCATGCAACCCTGTTTTTGTGTGGCATCATATAGTAAAAGTTTTTGTAGAGTTTTAATGCTAATGAGCATATCCTTAAATTACATAAATGTGAAACTAATGAGAAATAGAAAATGATGGCTCTATGGATATGAATTGCCTAGAGAGAATTCTTAGGCTGTCTTAGAATGAATACCATTTCATACAAAACATTCAGTGGGCACTGCTTTCAGAGGTCACATTCGGAGGATGACTACAATTGTGAAAGTAGTTTAGTTGGCTGCCTGTCGAGCTAACATCATTTTCCTTGATAAATGACTGAGCAATTTTAAGATGAAAATAACTTGGTTTAACCTTTCATCTTTGCTCTAGATTCATTTGTACTTTCCCAGCAATTCATAGGAGTAGTTCTCATTTCTGATTTAAACCAATTTTAATGGATGCTATTATTAGGCTTTTACCCTGTATGAATTTGGATATGTGGAGATGAAATAAAATGAGCTAAGGCATTTTGTTGCATATGACTGATACTTTTATTTGAATGCTAATTTTTAACAGCGGTTTGGGTGGGGGGTTAAATATTCCATGCAAAAAAAAAAATGTTTCAATACTTCTTAAAAAGAACCGGGAGTAGGGGCATTTTGTATGTCATGAATAACTGACCTCCTTGATTTTGTGTTTTCCTTACAGCTTTGATTAGTCTGTCCTTTGGAGGGGCAGTTGGACTAATGTTTCTGATGCTTGGATGTGCCCTTCCTCAGTATAGGTAATGTATATTTTTAATGCTCTTTATAATAACTGCATGCTCTTTGACTGCCAACTAATCTGTTCTCTAGTGTAGTAAGAATCTTATAGTGCGCATATATCTGTGTTTGTAGGTAGTTGTATGATCTTGGGTCAAAAATGCTAGGGAAAAGTAAAATTGTCATAAAAAATATTATAGAGACCTTTGCTACAGATAAATCATGAGGGATGATCACTTATCTTGTGGCTTCAAGACTTACAGTTACAAAATCCTGAAAGAAAATTGATACTTCTGACATTACTGACAAGTTTCAAAAAGTTTGGCAAGTTTTAGTAATGGAAGAATTGTCCTATCAAGTCAGTGTTCTGCATGAGAAAAATAAAAAAAGATGCTTATCTAGAAATTTGTTGGAAATTCTTGGAATTTGCTAATAAACAATCTCCTGCCTCCAAACTAGAAAATTTGAGAAATTTGTTTGAATATTGAAGAAAGTGCAAGTTCTGTGAGATGATAGTTTAGGTCAAATTCGCACTAAGTTTGAAATCTAAAAGCAGAGATGAATAGATCATGCCCTCTGTATTATGCAGAGTTCTTAGGAAAAAGAGCGGCTGCATTATCAAGCAGGCTACGTATAGAGATGAAGGAACACACCAACTTAACGTCCACCAAAACAAATTTGGTGACTGAAAGGAAAGGAAAAGAAAAGAACACAGGACTCCTCTGTAGACAATGACTTGGGTTAAGAGAACACCATTAATGGAAAATAGCTATCTGTCTTGATATCAGGGTGGATAAAAATCAATGATTTAAGAAAACCCCAACCCTTGGATTTTTTATTTAAATCAGATTTGATTTAATCATTTTTTGTTAATGTACTTTTAAAAAAACAAGTAAACCTATGTAAAGCTAGTTTTAATTTAAGAGATTTTAGAGCTCAAAGATATCATCATGGAATAGGGATTATAACTTCTAATGATATAATATTTGAGACAAAATATTCATGTAACTTTTTTAGAAAAGTTTTATAAATAGGTCACAATAGGCCATAGGCTATATTAGGGGCCCAATCTTAAGGGGTTCCTAGAGGCTCCTCTACAGATTAGTAAAGATTAAAGAAAACCACTCTACCCAATGGGACTTAGTGCTTAGTCTAGAAGATCCCATTAAGCATCTTCCTGATGCTTAGTTTCACTTCTCAAACTGTGAATTTGTGTCTCCAGAGATAACAACCTTGTTAATAGCAGTATATGGAGATGAGAGAGAACAGACCTGATTACCTACCCATAAATCCTCTTGTCTTTCTGCAAGTTTGGGTACACAGAGCCAAGACCTTACCTCTCTCTAAAAGTGCAAAGTTTCAAGAGGTTAAATGAATAGAGGATTGTTGGGGGTGGAGTAGATTTGGTCAAGGAGGAGGAGTTTGGAGATAAATGCAAGGAGAGGGGCAATAGAAACAAAAGAGAAACACTTTGAGCAGAATATTTCAGAAGTCTTGAGGGATAAGTTCCTGAGTATAGTCTCTCCATTGATTTGAGATCTAGTGAGAGAATGGTATGGTAGAAGGGAAAACCTATCATGGTAGCAGGCTTGCAAGGCCGTAAAAGAGACCCTGCCTGGGAATATTTTAATGACAGTTATATCAAGCAACAAGAATAAAATTTTTGTGGAAAACAATGATTAAATCCAGACTTCCTGACCACGTATTTAAATTGCGATTGAAATCAAACCCACCCTGCTTTATATATGTGCATTTTAGAGGATCTTCAAATGCTAAATTTGTTATTTGATAAGTCAAATTTAAAAAAAATATTATGGAGACACTGATCCTGTCATTATCTATCTGTATAAGTGCCTGCAGAGGACTGTTTTTGCTTCCCATTAATAACTTCTTTTAATGGGCAGCTCTTACATGCTGTAAAGCTTAGCTTTGTTACCAAAGCATGAAGCAATATGTTGTTTATGTTTTAATTTTTTTAATGATGCAGTGAGGTTTTCTGTATAACAGTAGAGGACTCCCTTTCTCATTATGTGCCTAAGCAGTTTGCTTTGACTACTAACAATAAAACATAGAAGTGCACTGATATATCAGTGCCATATTGGATCGGCACCGATAAAAGGAAAATTAACATTATTGGGTTTTTTTGGCCAGTGTAGCTGATAATGTCACTAATAAATATAATATACCTTCTGGCTGGGGCCCTTGGATGCTGCGTGCTTGTAGGCAGCCATAGCATGTACATGGTCAGGAGTGCAGCTGAGCAGTGTGGAGAGCAGCTCCCTGCAGCTAAGTCCATGGAGAGGAAGGGGCATTGGAGGTGCAGATTGAGGCCCTCACACTGAGGGAAGGACTTGGGGTAGAGACAGGGGGAGCTGGCCAGTCAGGGCAGTGAATGGGACCCTGGGGCTGGAGCAGGGAGCAGGACAGAGCTGTGGGCAGCTTGTCCAGAAAGGGTAGGCAGCTCCCCACTTTTGTGTGCACCTGCGAGGGAGGCATGGGGGGGTAGGTACCCCCCAAGATCTGTGTGCAGGGCAGAGGCGGGCTGCCTGCTGTGGGCTCAGGGTTCCCTGCCCTGCTGCATTTGCCCTGGGAACTGCGCGCTGGCTGTGCACCCCCCTCCCACCCGGCAGCAGTGGAGGCAATGAATTGTGCCTCTTGCTACTGGGTGGGCAGGGGACACGTGGCCAGCATGTGGTTTCTGGGGCAAAGGCAGTTGAGCAGAGTCTGAACCCACAGCAAGCAACCTGCCTCTGGCATTGCCCCACTCACCTGCGCTCCTAAAAGTGTTCCCGTGCTTAAAAATGGTGGTGGCGGTACTTGACTTAAGAGTTCATTTGACAAGCTTTAATTCAAGCCCCCCCGCCATGATTTTTAAGTGCAGGGCCGCTGATCCCCT